GGGGCTCCCTTCAGCTGCGTAACAATTGGAGGTTGTAGGAGGTTAGTGACAAAAGGGATCAACTGGCTAGAAGATCCAGTCTTAACAAGTGCCTACAAGAAAGGAACTGTCTGAAAACTCTTGCTTGAAGATTCTGACACTAAAATGAGAGGCGCAAGCTATGGAAAAGTGGCTGATGATCCAGCATATGCAGCATCTTCCTCAAACGACCGAGGCAATTAAAAAACTCAGATCATAACCAGCCATAGATGAAAACTACCAGCATGTGTTAATTTTAGTCCATTTCAAACCATGGAGCTGAGCTTCTCAAAAGTAGACTTTAAATATTATATTGTCTCTATTTCTGATCTTTTTAAAACTGGAAATTCTGAGACTGCTACAAAAACTAAGTTCTGCCAAAGGGAACTCAGTTTGAAGTTGGTGTCTAGTCAAATCTGAACTATTAAGTTCATTTGCCCTTTAATTCCTTTAATGCTTGTTAGCTGGGTGGATCCAAGATGAATTTATCTCATTTTAGCAGTAAAAAAACAATCACAAAGTTCAGGTTTGAATCCAGCTCAATGATGAGAGGAAAAATCTGGGGTTTTACATCCTGGACTTTAAGCATTTGTGTAGTGAGTGAGGTTCAGAGGTAGGAGGTAAGAGAAAGTCCTTATTTTCTTTGATACAAGTTTTTTTATTCCTAACTGGAATCCCTAATTCCAATTTTTTTTTTCTGTAAGCAGCTTAGTTGCCATCATATAACCTTGAGAGCCCAGTACAGAAAAGCCATGTGTCACTTTCTGATAAATTGGAAGGGATTTAATTAAATGAACATATATAAAAGACACATGAATGAGAGATGGCCCAGGAGCTCCTCTAAATTAGCTTAGCAAGAGGAAAAAAAAGAGTGAATCTCCATCAGTAGTGTAAGTGAAGGGCATCACTTTTTATAATATAACCAAGTAGAATCACAAAGGTTAAGAAAACTTACAGCATTACCTGCCTCTGAGTTCTCTAGGTTGTTATCATACAACAGCAGACTGAAGAGAAGGGAATAAAGTCCTTATTTAACCAGAAAGAATGAATTTTCACTGTTAAGTCTTATACAGAAGAATCAAAACCACCAGGTGACTTCTGATGGCAAATGCTTAGCTTCTCAGGGCCTGAGGTACTCCCAGTGGAATAAAGACAAAAATTCGAAACCTACCTCCTGTTGTACATTTTTATACATGCCCCATTCCAAATAGGTTTTTAGTAATAACAACTCCTGCAACACAATAGAGATGAAAGCCCCTCTTTGTTTGCTCTTTAAAATAAAGCTGATAATGTAAAAAAATACCTCAACATATATTACTGGCTATGATTCAAATTGTTTACAGAACAGGGTTTCCAGCAGACCCTAAAAATTTCTCCACACTCATGTGAATCTCGTCCCCAGGAGAGCCGGGATTCAAAGGAGGCAAGCTATTGAAACAATACCAGGAAATATGTGTACAAAGCTAATTTTTAAAATTATATTTACTTATAAAAGTGAGCCTTAAAAAGAAACATCAGAGGAAAAAATTCTGCTGCAAAGTGGAAGTTTTGCAATTCTCCAGCAAGCAGGCTAGGGGAAAGCAGGTGAGAAACCAAAGAATGCCACTTGCATTTTGGTACAGGAATTCAATCATGACAGTGAAAGGCAGCAGGCAGAATCCAGCTCAATGCAAATGAAAATCATATATCTTAACACAGGGAGGAGATTTTATCACCTAGGCTGTTTCATGCCTTTATTTAAACTAAGTTTCCCTGAGGAGTAAAAAAACAGAAATCAAACCAACAAACCCCAGAAGGTTCTTTTTTTTTGTGTGTATGTGTTTTTTAAAATCCAAATTCAGCTCTTAGTAGGCCAGCCCCAAACAGTTGTTTTAAAAAGATTAGCTCATTTCAAAATTCATGGTCCTTTTTTTGGCATCTAGACCAACATGTCTCTGCCAGTTCTCCCCAAGTGACAGCGCTTCTGAACTCCTTCATGTTGTACAGCCACTCTGTGTTGTCCTGAGGATTTTGCTCCAGTGTATACATCACTTCATCAGGGAGCTGGACAAGATCTTTACGCTTTGTCATTATAGGACAGGTTTTGACAGGGCGGCTAATGTTCCCTTGGCACCCAGAAGATTTGCCTGAGAAGACAATAAAAGGAGGCGGGAGCAGTAGGGTAGGAAAAACAGTCCTCTGTCAGTCCTCTGTAAAGACACCAGTGCTTGGTGAGCTGCGGACAGATGGAATTTATCCCTTTCACTCTTAATTACAGTGAACTGGAAGCCCTTGTTTCTGACAGAGAATCTGCAGCACGGGCTGCATGAGACCTTGGAAGATTCCCATATCACTATTATTCTGCGGCTGGCATGGGCGACAGACAACAGTTAAATACATTGCATCCTTCATGTCAGAACCCTGCACTGACTGTTTTCCCTAGGAAATTGGATCTTCCCTGGCCATCTTTAGATTATTGCTTTACACACCCTGCAGCAGTGATGCTGAGGCTGTTACAGAGTGGCAAGGGAGTCCTGATGCTCGGTGGCCTCTGACTGCCCGGATCAGGCGTCTTTGTTAACAGATTGGGTCCTGGGGACAGCTGGGACACACAGGGTTTGACAGGATGGCTCCCAGGACCCTCTTAGTCTGTCCAAAGTGATGCTTGCCCTAGTGAGGCTACAAGAACAAAGACGCTCAAAGATGTCTCAGTGCCACTTCCCATCTCTTGATCCCACATACAAGCACAGCCCCCTGACTTGGCATACTAAGCAAATGCCTTATCCAGGGATGAAATTACTGCTGCTCCAACCTCTTTTTAGAGTCTGTAGCTAGAGCCCAGTAGATTGCAGAGTGGCTAATCTTCCTACAGCCAGAATTATAACATGCAGATCAGATTATGTCTACTTTCCTGGCCTGCTTCTTGGCAGGGTAAATAGCCACGTGCACTAATTCATGAGCCAGCTTGGAAATACGGCCTGTACTTAGATGGAGCTGTTTTAAGACAGCTCTCCAGGAGCTTGTAGAAGTCTGGTCCTGCGTACTGTGATCGTTGCTGACAATTAGCTTGGGAAGCAAAGGCCAACCAAACAGCCAGACCTGTTCTGATGTTCTCTACCAGGCATGTGCGGATAGTTAGTTTGTGTTTGCCTGAGGAGTGGGAGGGATACCTCCAGTTAGACTCAGAAGCACACGCTTGTTCTCTAAGCGCTGCCTTCTTCTGTGGCAGCTACACAGTGTGGTTGCCCCAGCACAACAGAACAATTAACGCACATGAGATGAAATAAGGGAGCCATTTAGAAAATCATCATTTCCTAGTGTCTTGAGTAAAGCCCTGCAAAAATTGGTTTTAGCAGCCTTCAATTTGCTTCCAAGTGCATAGTGATTGCATGCATTTCCCTTGTGAACTCAAGTCACAATTTTGTTGTCACTTCTCCACTGGCATCACAACGAAGACATGCTGAGAAACCTGACCAGCTTAGATAACACACTAGTGTACGCTCTATAAATGCTAGTGGTTTGTCAGCTAACTAACAGAACTGAAAGGAAAAATATTTTTCATTTAACAGGGAATGTCAGAAGTTTAAACGCTTTTCCCTTTCCAAAACAGTGTGAAAACAAACAACCAAAACAATTTCATGAATCTCAGAGGAAAAAAGATAAGGTTGCTTGCAGCTGTTTCATTTGTTTCATGTCAGCAAGGAGATCAAACCACAGTCTTTTCCACTGGTACCAGAGGCAGCTCAGCACCCTGCAGGGTAGACCTAAAAGTGGTACAGCATACATGGACATCAAAGGAAGCTATTCTCCCTCAGAGATCAGAGTAACAACAATTTCATTTGCCCTTCACTGTCATTCCACCTGCAGTTTCTTTTTCTGTTTCTCAAGAACTGGTGTCCTGGTAAGGGGAAAATTCTGCTCCCCACTCTCTCTATGCTTGCCCCTAACCAAAGCTTCACATTCTGGAAATGCCTGAAGAGATCTGATCTTCCTAGAATCAATATACTTATGCTTCTCCTTGACAGGGTTGACCCTTAATCATCTATCATTTGGTTTTGGAGGGGCATCTGCACAGACTTTTGCAGGCTCTGACACACGCCCATGACCAGACACAAGCCATCTACAATCAGGAAGCCACATTGTTGTGCTGACACTGAGAGACGTGGCCAAAATGAATGGCAGAGGTGTAGAAAATCAGGATTTGCTATTTTCCTATGCAGCCTTAGTTCCTGGGGCTCAAATTGGAGGACTTCAGAAGAACATACCCATTTGTTGCATGCATACTAAATGGACCATGCAGTGGGTGCTTGTACTCAGAGACACAACCTTAGGTTGTTAGGTTCATATTAGGTTTGAAGAACACACACACACACAAAAAATCCTGTGAAAAACAAAGATAAATTTGTGCCTAAAACTGCTCGATGCCATTTCTTTAACAACTGCACTGTTATGAGCTCAGTGGAGGTTAAAACAGGCTTGTGTGGTCTTAAGCTGTGGTCACATTTCCATGGTCTTCTCCATAATTTGTTTAAGAGCTGTTTTATTCATCAGTAAAATAAACCCAAACATGAGTGCATTTTCCCATTATAAGAGAATTTTGAGATGTCAGAGACCTATTAGATAATTTACTCCATCTCCCAGCCAATGCAGAACTGGTCCAAATAATATATTTGTCATTGTTTTATTCAATGCAGTTTTAAAATTTTCAAGATTGCAGCTAAATCCTTCTTCTGCGTGACACATTTTTCCTGACATTCAAGTCAGGCCTTTCCTGCTGGCTATGTTGCCTTCACTGTCCATCTTAGGACTGCAGTTCTTTGGCTTTGCCACATGCTATACAGATAAATTGTTGCTAGTGCACTGGGGGAATAAAGAATTGATGGCTCTGACATTTCTAAATGAGCACCAGGCAAAGAGCAGGGAGAACTGAGAATCCAGGTTCTTCTGCAAATTGTTTCTCCCTTTTCGGTGTTTCATGCATTCCCCATTTTCAGCTCTTTTACCTTGTTGATGAGGCTGGGATCACCCGGGCTGCTCTCGTCGTCTTCTGAACTCTTCTGTTCCTCATCTGATGTGACAACCTCCATCGGTATCACAGAGACTGGGCACACCTTGTAGGGCTCCGTGTAGGCACTGCAGAGAAAGAACAGACTAGCTCACTGGTGTTATTCGCAGACACTCACTATTGCTCAGACATAACAACTCCACACATTGCCCAGAGATAACCAGTCAGGGGGCACGGAATCCCTGCAGACCTGCTAGGCTTGGAAAGCAAGATTTCTCACGCTTTCGTTTTTTGCTGCCAGGTTCAACAGCAACCATATAGTCAAGTAGAAGGATCTGAAAGGAGCAGTGGCAAAGTAACTGAACTTGTTCAAGCTTCCCCAAAAGATCAATGTTCTGGCTCAGTCTGGAGCAAAAAGTTCATACTTAGTTGCAACCAGAACTGCTTTGTTCCTCCCTAGTCAACCCCTCAAAATGGATGCAGTAAAATCATATTACCATCTCAGTGCCCATTCAAAATGGAAGTTTGATATTGTAACAATGGGATTTCTTGGAAAGCATCAAAAGGATGAGAAAAGTGTAATTGTAATATCAATGGCATCAATTAAAGCACAAGGTATGCAGATCCCAGAATCCTTGAGTTGTTTCAAGGGAATCTGAATTCAGCTCCAGAAACCCAGAGAAAGCCATGAAATAAGAGTACTGGATCTGGTGTGTAATACAGGCCAGTGGCTTCCCAGCATTTTCTTTTAGAAAAAAAAAATCTTTTTTTAAAATTAAAATTGCCAGTGATTTCAAAACCTCCACAAAGCATGACTAGAGGTAGGTTCTCAAGATGGTGCCTGCCCTTTTCCTTAGAAAAGTGTCTTTTATTGCTGATCTGAATATGCCTAGCTCCAAATTCCAGATACTGGATCTTGTTAAACCTTTGTCTGCTGAATTGGAGGCAGTCTTCCAAATTTTGTTACTCTGCAGGTACTCACAGGCTGTATTCAGGTTGTCCCTTCATTTTGTCTTTTATATGAAATAGGTGAAGATCTTGGTGTCTTACTATGTCATGCCTCCTATCATTTAATCATTCTAAAATCTCTGAACTTTATCCAATTATCCGTTAGCATTATCCAATATACTAAGCATTTTAGCACCAGTTTTTACTACCAGTCAGTTTTAGCACTGTTCTTGGTACTGCAACACAATCATAGAATCATAGAATTGTTTAGGTTGGAAAAG